ATGAATAATAAAGGAACTGAGGAAAAGACCTCACTTAAAAAAAAAAAAAAAAAAAAAAAAAAAGTATAAGATCGTGTTTTATATAAGTTAATGTTGGCGAACTGGGTTTTTATTCGATCGAAAGTATCTGCACTAGAGATGTGAACTGTGAATTACAGTACATATAAATGAACTGTAGTTTATTTTAAAACTACAGTTTTACAGTTTTACAATAAACTACAGTTTATTTGTATTAACTAATAGTTAACGGATCGCACCTCTAATCTGCACGATAATAGTTCTTTATCCGAATGTCTGTTGGAGTTAGTCACGGGCAGATAAGCAGATGCGGATAAGCTCAGTTTTATCTGAACGGATAGATGGATCTCATCTCTACGCTGTAGTTTAAGAAATTTTAGCGCAATCACAATTTCCTTAAAACTATAGCTTATCAGCCTAATACGTATTAACCTAACCTATCTGATATTATGTTAATCTATATATTAAAAAATTTTGATCTTCGACGCGTCTGACTGTGGCGCAGTTCTCTTTGTTCTGTATCATGTACGAGAGAAGTCTAACTTACGCATTAGATTGAAGTGCATATCAGGAATATAATAATGGAGACAAAGCAATAAAATTTTATGGTGTTTAAATTTTTTGCAATAACATATGCTATTTCAATTAAATAATTATAGAGATTCGTTTAGCATCAAATAAAACGATAAAATCTTTTTTTTTTGTTTCATAAATATTATAAATGCATGTTTCCATTTTTATCGCCGAGTTAAAGATTAATTAAATGCCATATTGAATATTTCTTATTGCACATGTGAATTGAATATATTATTTAAAAAAACCAATAGATTAAAGATGGGTTTTTAGACCCTGCATATTGGCAAAAAAAAAAAATTCTTCATGAAATTTTAATATACTAAATTCGGATCAAGTTTAATATAAGGGACACTACTCTAAATTTAATTGATTAATAATCAATTTTATTAGTGGGGTCCCTTATACTAAACTTGATCCCTAAATTCTAACCCTAACAGTTAAAAAGCTGTTAGTATGATTTTATAATGTGGACTTTAACGATAATCATAAAAAGCTGCTAGCTTTATTTAATTATTTGATTTTCCGATGATTAGCTAAAACACATTGCTGTATCTTTTAATAGTTCATTTATTATGCAAAGAAAATTTGAGAAACGTAGGTTATTCTCCTGCAGAGTACGGAGACTATACATTGTAATAAAGATGTTAAATCTAACCTGTCATTTAATAACGGTCTAACACCTAGTAGCTTATAAAACTAGGAAAATGCATAGCATTATGGGTACAGAGCGTATCATATGATGATCATCTTATTACATCAGAAACGTAACTTTGAAATTTTTTTTACTAACAAAAAGGATATTTCGGGAAAAAGATTTGGCGAGCGTGTTTATACATATATATGTCGATCAGTGGATTATGGGGTTATATATCACTTGACGTGGCCGGACAAACTGACAAACTTTTCATAAACATATAGCATTCTCCGCTTCGCTCCGGACAATAGTCAGGAATTCGATTAATCCCAAAATATTCGGACCACATGTACAGTACACCCATCTGTGTAACATTTCGGCACATCTGTGTAAAATCACCTCATAAAAACTTTAACTCGATTAGACGGTTTAATCCAGTAATATAAAATAGTATTCTAGCCCTCATTCACTTACAAAGATAATTATGTTAGAAAGCTGTCCTTATATCAGAAATTAAGAAGTGATTTTATTTGCAGAAGTTTGAAGTCATGTTACGCTTGATCTTATGACCTTGGTAAATTTATGTATAAATTAATAATTAGTGGGAAATAGTTTAGCCGATCAGATAAATAAGATGCCGTAATACCATAGTGCTTGCGCACTGTCGATCACTAGCAATCGCACTAGGAAAGACACTTTATTCCATCTTCCATGATGGCGAGGTTTTACGACTTGTAATCACTACTTTATAGTAAAAAAAACTTGTTTTTTTTTTCACTGATTAAAGTAGCAATTCTAAGTCGTTAACTAATCGTCATGATATCACAAAACGAAGAATAACATTTTATATTCCACTACGGGAAATAACCTGGTAGATCTCGGGTCATAAGAGGACCCGAAAAGCCCTTTTGTGATCGGTGATTTACCTCTTATTCCCACCGTTCCGGAAAATAAATAGCACGCAATCCTCCCAAAAAATGCGAATATGCGAATCGTAGATCACATTGTCACATCAATATTATAATTTGAATGAATCACATCTTTAACCTGGTATATACTTTATAAAATTACTTGAATAGTTAACTAGAGTTAGGGTTAAGGCTAGTTTAGGTTAGAACAAGGGCATGAACTATAGCTATATAGTTAGTATATGGTTAATCAAAATATCGTGATCTTATTGTTTTTTTTTTTGGTGACACATTGTAGAAAAATAAACTTTTTTTTTTTTAGTAATTCTTTTACTGTAACATTAACGTTAATAATTGCATTATTAATTGCAACTTGCATATGTATTTTTAATTCTGTAAATTTCTAATCCTTCTAATTCGACTACGTAATAATCTTGGAAATTTAAAACCTCAATTTCATTCATTACCATTACATACATTTGTACATTAATACAATATTATTAATATTAAAATTTTTATTTATCGTTGTATTTATAATTAAAAACCAACTATATATCGATATATATTTATAAACCAATCTAAATATGCACACAATTCACTTGCAGGTACGTACGTGCATATACACATTTATCTATTGCTAATGTCGTCGCATAGCAATTAGATTTACGTACGTATTAAAAATTTATTAACAGTTAACATTAACGATAAATCAACTAACTAGATCAATAGATGACTCCCAAGTTTTCAACTTGAGTTATTAGCATCTCTGTTCTGGATACCCTTAATTTTAAACGTTATCCATCATATTGTGTTATGCAATGTAATGCAATAACATTATTTTAGAAGTCACGTAATTCAGTACCGAGGAAAAAATGAACGGTTCCCTAACTTACATATGTATTATTGTTTATTAATTTAACTATATTTATATCGTGAAAATTTTTACTAATCATTAGAACTATCGTTTTACTAATTCGTTGATTTGTCAGCTTAACACACCATAAAACATTTGATTTTTAAGCGTTCTACAATTTCTCAATTTTATACCTTATTTTAGAAAGATTTTTGGTGATCTTTTTTGAAAAAAAAATATATAAAAATGAATTAATGAATCTCTTCGAAATCTCAAAGTTAAGATTCTATAAATTAAAATAATAAATTAAGATCACCTAATACTAAAATACAATTGTAATATCTCGAAAAATTCAATCAAAATGACTATTGTTAATAACCACCCTGAAGAAACCCGTGAAGCTCTCTTGAAATCTGACACTAAACTCTCTTCCGGAGAAGTGGTTGTCGATCACCGTTACGCTGCTGTTGCATCTGAAGCCTCAATTCAGGCCACTAAAACAAGTTTAGAAGCCAATCTTCATGAAGTTACGGTTGTTGAAACCAAAGAGGAAGCTTTTGAATTTTTGAAGAACTTAATTCCTAAAGGAGCCTCAATTAATAATGGTCATTCTACTACATTGGAAGAAATTGGGTTTATCTCATATTTGAAGAATGCTACTGAATGGGAAAATGTTCACGCTCAAATTTTAGCAGAGACTGATTATGCTAAACAGGCGGAGTTGAGACGAACTAAAGGCTTCACTGTCGATTATTATTTGTCTTCTGCTAGTGCTATTACTGAAGATGGAATAATCGTATGTATTATATTCCTTGCTAGAATATTTCTAAATAATGTTTCTTCTATGAAAAAATTTTGTATATCATTCGACCTAACTAACAATTACTATAAATTTTATGTATTAGGTTGGATGTGATTGGTCAGGAACTCGTGTCGGTGGTTGGAATGCGACTGCCGGAAAAGTTGTTATCGTTAGTGGTACAAACAAAATTGTTAAAAACGAACAAGAAGCTAATGAACGTATACATAAATATACTTTAGAATTAGAAAGTGCACGCGTTAGATTGGCTTATAAAGTAGATAAAAGTAATGTTGCTAATTATGTTCTTGTTAAAGGTGGTAATCCTTTCGCTCCTAAACGTTATCATGTCGTACTAATCAAGGAGTCTTTGGGATACTAAGTGATTGATTTCGTGATAATTAAAATCATTTTATATAAGATTTAATTTCATTTTTTAACACAATATATGTTATTTATATTTTTAAATTGTTAATAAAATTCATAAATAATTAATATAAATTTTATATCGTGAAAAATAAAAGGTTTATTTTTCCCTGCCATAATTTCCTTGTGAGCGTAGGTTCTGTCCATATATTATTCTGAAACGTGCGATTTTAGACTTTTGCTTGTTATGACTGACAAGGAGTACATAAAGCATCTTCTTCCTCACACATAGGAGTCGTAACTAAACACTCTTATACTAAGTTCTTTAAATAATTTTGTTAAGAATATGACCTGCTCAAATTAACCTAAGGGATTTTAACTTTTCCTTTAAATATTCTTTAGCTTCGTATTTATTTAAGCCTTCACAGATCGTATCTGATATGTAATAACAATATTCGTTCGTCGCAATCACTTTACTAAAGCTGTGCATAATCACGTAATAATGCGCCAGTCTTATTAATTTTTTACAGGTGAATCCCTAAATTTCCGGGCCAGAATGGCCGGAATGCATCATGACTAGGGTTAGCTATACCGGTTAGCAGGAGCTATAGTAAAATTATTAGCTGGGACTTAACAGTCATATAACATGTTGTGTAGATCATATGCAATATGGGGCAAATGATTGATGCATCTAAATTTTATATGTAAAATTTAATAGTAAAAAATTTGGCCATTTGATTTTTAAATATTATTTGCAATTTCTTTAGCATTTGATAGTTATTTTTTTTTTTTTTAATATTAAGGTAACCACTTAGACTCCTGGCACTTTATTAGTTCAAATAGGTAGGCTATTGTTAAGAACACTGGCTTTACATGTTGAATCAGTATTATGAGAATACAACTTGTCACATGTACAACTTTTGATTGTTTAATTTAAGTAGTCTGCCTAAAGCATTAGTGCTATGCTAAGGGTTCTACACTAAATATCATATTTATAGCCTAACTACTTTGCAGAAACATAGATTTTTTTTACTATACAAATACTATACTGTAATAATATTATAATAATATAAATTATTAAACTTATAAAAACTATATAATTTGGTAGAGGTGTGGTAACTTAGTGTAGTGGTCTAGTTGTTACCCTCTCCAAGTAGCAAGTCTAGAGTTTGAATCCTACAGATGATGATATTTAAAAAATAGGCCCGTGTTCGGTTGATGGCTATGCTTATCAGTTGGATCTAGAACTAAATCTGTAACTTCAGTTATACCATCTAGTAATAGGAGCTTTGGCACAATAAACCTGAGAAACTGGCATAACCAAAAACCCATTTGGAAAGTTCTAAACAGTGATCTTTGATGGTACCACAGGAGGGCTGAATTTGTACCAGGGCCCAAGATCAGAGAACCAAGCGATCAGATCCTTAAGTGGGGGACACACTAGCTGAACTGCCGGGTCAATGCACTAGAGGAAAAGAGCATATGCTCTGAAAGTATGAACCAAGGTAAAAGTGTCCTTCAAGCACCTAAAGCCTGAGCAGACTGACTCATCCAAGTTGCTAGCTGGAAGTAAGGGAGAGACCAATAAAGAATCCAGTTAAGAAGACAGTTCCAAGTGTGGATACTGGGGTAGTTGTGAACCAATTAAGGGCAATAAATATATAATAGGAACTAATTAAGAAGGTTGTAGCTTGGGATACGGATCAAGTTACAGCAGTGCTCTAAAAGGCAGCTTGAGATATGAACTCAGTGTTGATAGTACAACAGGTACTAACTAGAAAGATATTACAGAACATGCAAATAAATGCATATGTGGAACATATACTACTCTGTTGAGCTTATTTTCAAGGATAGTAAAGTGTTATAAGTTGGCTGGAAATATGTAGTGGTGTTACAAAACCTATATTTGAATAGTGAGTTACACTCGTATCAGGTAATATTAGGCCAAATATATTAAGATTAGAGGGTTTAAATGGGTAATCCCCTAGTTGGGTTACAGATATGGCAGATAGTGTAAAACCTTCGGGCAGACTATTTAATTAGATACCCAAAAAGTACATATGTAGCTATATGTACCTTCATCGCAATGTATAGTGTCTAACTTTGCTTAATAAACTCTCGCTGACCAAGAAGGTCTCCTTTGTTTAAAAAAAAAAAAAACTATATAATTTGTATACTGTTATTATATGGGGAAGTCAATAGAAATGGAACAAATCTATCTAATAAATTTGTCATATTTCTATTAACTCTCCTCTATATTATAATAATAAAATTTTAATATATTAAACTATATTGTAAAAATATTAAAAAATATAATTAATTAAATAAAATTAAAATATATTTACAATACAATTTTAATATATTATAGGGAATTATTTTTTATACCCCCCTAATTTATTAACCATACCTCCCTGCAGATTTACATTTTTTTAAAACTTTGAGTGAAGATATCACAATAACCACCAAACCAATTTTGACGAATCTTTTTTTCTTTGCATTCTACAGATTCGTAGAATTCAAATAAAAAAATTCATCGAATTTGGCCTATTAGTTGCTGAGATATCATTGCTCAAGGTTTGAAAAAAATCAAAATATCTATCAAAACAAATAATACAATTTTTTTTTAAACTTTGAGCGAAGATATCTCTACAACCACTGGGCCAAATTCGATGATTTTTTTTTTTTATTTGAATTCTACGAATCTGTAGAATGTAAAGAAAAAAAGATTTGTTAAAATTAGCTTGGTGGTTGTTGTGATATCTTCACTCAAAGTTTTAAAAAAAGCCAAAACGTATATCAAAACAAAAGCTGTACCAAAATTTTCTCAAAGTTTGAGCAAGGATATCTCGATAACCACCAAGCCAATTTTGATGAATTTTTTTTTATTTAAATTCTACAAAGCTGTAGAATGCAAAAAAAAAAATAATTCATCAAATTTGGCTTGGTGGATGTCGAGATATCTTCATGCAAAGTTTGAGAAAAAGTTTGGCGCAGCTTTTGTTTTGATATACGTTT